TTTGACCATTTATTTTATTTAAAATCTTTATATAATTTCATTCATTTTGTTGTGACAGGTTTTATCATTAAATAAACTTTAAAAATGATTTACACTAAATTTTTAAATAAGACGAATGATTAAATGTTACTTACAAATTAATAATGTTATTTATTAAAAAAACAGAGAGAATAGTTTGGACCAGGTTCGACCTATCGGTTTACTGATTTGTATCAGGAGTTACCGAAAATTCAGAAATATTGCGGAAATTTCGGACGAAACTTTTTTTAAAAAAATTGTATTCAAATTTGAAAATTGCGGGCGAAATTTTTGAAAAATGAAAAAAAAAAACAGATAACAACACTGACAGATGACAAAATGTAGGTTCAAGTCTCATTAGTCCATGAACAGACCATCAATTATAAATGTCCTAATAGTTCATGAAGTACAGAAGTTTCTAGTTCATACAAATTTCAGTTCATGTAGGGAAAATAACGAACCTCGAAAAATCAGTCCTAGAATCCAAAGCGCAGCCGCCGTCACACGGAGCGTGGCACACCGCAACCGCGGACACCGAGCAGCAGGCGACGGCTGGGAGAGGGGCGTGCAGCGCCGGCGATGGGCTGCGTCGAGGTGGCGAGATGGCGATTTTTTTCCATTCGGATGCGGTGTGTGGGTGCAGCGCAATGAGGGGAGGCGGAGGGGTGGAGAGAACGGCGATTTTAGGGTTAGTTGAGAAAATCCCATTAAATTTTTATCGGACTCTACTGAAACACCCGAAATTTTAAAAATTTCGTTCCGGAATTTTCATCCCACTTTGGACAAACGGGAACACTTTTTTCTCTAGTAATCTGACCGCACGCACGCACGCACGCACCTAAAAACAGGGGCTCTTTGCCTAGAAATGCAGGGAGTACACGTCAATGTCAAGCTGTTCTTTCCCCTCTTTTTATGGGCCAGTGTTCCAAAGAGGATTCATGAATGCTTCGATCAGTTTCTACTTCGAGTTGAGGTTGAAAGCTAGCTGGAATGGGGATCTGGTTGTCGTCCTCTACTCGTGTGTTTTGAGTTGGACATGGCAGTTTTCGCATGCCACTTTGGGACGCCACAGCTTACACACTTACTAATCAATAATTTAGGCTGGAACTTTAAGGTTATTAAGCTTGGCTAATAATTGCGACCTAGCTACCCTGGCGAGCGGTTTCAGCTCGAATCTTTGTTATGGTCGAATACGATGCTTTCCGGTACTCAATGCATATATATGTTTTTTTTACGCAAATGGTTGTCTTAGATAGTGACATATATATACATATATGTAACGTCAAAAAATATAAAAAATATAAGAATTTAGAACTGGAACGTTCCATCTCATACTAGATTAGATTTTTAAGTAGTACATGTACACATGCATGAGCATGACAAAAAAGCAAAGCTTGCAGATTTGGTTGTCGAAGCCTTTAGGAAACGGTTTCGGTTCGTCTCGCCATGAGGGCCACCGTTGGGCAGCTAGCAACGACACACGATCAAGCTAGCCACGCACGTACGCACGCAGCGTACGCCGCAGGAGTAGTGCGCGACACACCAATCTCACTGCAAGTGCACGTATGTAGTATGGGCGCAGACATGGTCGGAGAAACCAACAAGGAACCGCCCGCTCAATCTGGGAAAAAAAAAGGAGTAGTATTAATTAGCAAATTCATTTGCATCATTAGGCAAACGGAATATCTCTCTCTCTCCCCCCTCGATCCAAGGTATGTCCCGAATGATTGGATCCTCGCTGCCCTTTAATTTCCTTGCTAGTTCACCGTACCAGATAATTTCACGGGTAAATTAATCTGGAATCACCTCCAACTTTTGCGCAAAAGAAAAAAACTATTTTACCTCACTCAACTAGTGGTGAAAAAGATACTACATGAATTAATTCCGGACCGTACCGTGACAGTTGCCATAAAAATAATATGGTGTTCTACCATTTTCGTCTCTAGTCACATAAAAAATTATTTTTTCTAATTTCCATTGCGTTGTATTAAAGTTGTCACTTAATATTTAAATTTATAAATAAAGAAAGTACCCGATCATACCAAGAATATAGAAATGATATAGTTTTTAACCGTTTTCATCGTACTCTCAACTTCAATACTAGAATTTTTTTTCATTCCTAACTTCAATATCTCTGCCAAGCTCCTCAAGTATTGCCACCTCGCCGAGCTCTGCCTTCCCAAACGCCTCTGCTGCCTCAACAGTGTTCTCCAAGCATCTCCACCTCCACAAGGGCCGCCCTATATCTGGTGTTCTGTGAGATTGGGTAGATTAGATCTACTCCCTCTATTCCCATAATGTAAGACGCAGCTAAAGTTGGTATGGTCTCCAGAACAGAACTAATCTTTAGCTTGCAATTTCTCATATATTATAAGGTATGTAGCAACAAAATTATAACCATACGAAAGTAAATTTAAATATCACTCCAATGATATACTTTTTTAACAAATAAAATTTATTTCATATTATACTAAGTGTTTATTAAATGTTTTAAATGTTAAATATTGAAATGCGCGTGTGCCTTATAATATAATCCAGAAGAGGAGGTGAAAGACTAGTGAGAGGGGAAGGAGGCGTTGCTCATATCGTGTCTTAGTCTGTGTTCGGGCACCTCCCGCGCACGCAAAACAGAGTGGCGTATTTTCTTATAATTAATTAAGTATTTAGAAATTTTTTTAAAAAAAATAGATTAATATGATTTTTTTAAAGCAACTTTCGTATAATTTTTTTAACAAAAAAAACCACATTATTTAGTAGTTTGAAAGACGCGCACACGGAAAATGAGGGATGTGAGTTAGGAAAGTTTGGGAAATAACTCAGCATTACTGGGGACATTTGACCATAGACCCCATAGTGGGCTCACCCACCATTGTCACGTGCTTGAGGAAGGGATTTCACGTGAAACACCTTCAACCAGATCCGGCCTCCCTCCCTCCCACCCTATTCCCTTTCTTTGGTGAGGCTGGTGTTTAGGTTGCAGCTGGTGTGATGGTCTCCTCCTTCTCCTTCCCAATCTTCTTGCAGTGATAGCTAGAGCTCGAGCCAGTTTTGTTGATTAGGTTGGACGGGGTGGGCACTGAAGCAGATGGAAAAAGAAGAGAGAAAGGATGGTATATGAGGCTACCAAGCTTATTCAGATGTCATATGTCGACTATACAAGGACATGCATATGGCATGACCAACAAAGCACTTTGGATTTGGATAGGGGGTGCTCCGTACAGTTTGAAGAGTTGAAGGATGTAATTATTCGTTAGTTGAGTTATGGAGATAAATTGTACTTCTGCAAAAGTTAAAGGAGTAAATTGAATTTTATTACCCTTAAACCAAACACACGTGAAAATCATGTAAAATTCCTGTATTCAAAAGAGGCCTTGATTTATAGCTTCTTCGAGACGCTAGAATTTACAGTATTTGTTCAATCGTCGAAAAATCCTTCAAAAAATACCTCGATTCTAAGGGATGCATTAGGTGTCATTGCGCGATGACAATTTTTTTTTAACGGATAGAGCAGAAAAAAAATTATAAGATTACAATCCTGTGAGGCTATAACCGGGAAAAGGAAAAAAGAATACCACCACCCACACAAGGACAGCGCCAAATACAAACTCAGAAGAAGGCTAGCACCGACCGGGCGCCGCTAAGCATGACCAACCACCGCTAGACCAATAAAGGAGCTATAACTGGGATTGCCCACAACCCAATCCTTACAACCGACATAAAGTCCTACTCTATCTACATCTGAGGGATTTAGGGAGAGAGGGTGAGAGAGAAGAATAGAACCGCTCTCCCCCCGAAGCCCCTCCTATGTGGCTAACTTGTATAAACTAGGGCTATGATATAAGAGTATGTGACTCTAGAGCAAGCTTGCAGCAGGAGTTTGGGTGGTTCCGGAAAGGGTACTACCTAAACAGCGTCTCTAGGGAGATAAGCGACGAAAGCATAGCCGACGAGGTCTCAAGAACCTTGACTAGGCTTTCACCCAGCAGGCCCACTAGAGGGGGTGAGATGGCACGACAACACTCTCAAGAGGGAGAGTGACGCTCAAACGCCATCATTGCTGTCCCGGCCAAGGCCAGGCTCGGTTTTCACCTGCCATCCACCGCTTGTCTATCCACTGGTGACGCACCGATGCTCCACCGCCATCTGAATCTCCGCGGGTGCGTGGGCACCACTGCACTAGTGCCCCCTGCGGGACAGCCTCCGCATGGCATCATCGGGCGCGCCATGTTGCCTCTCGTGGCGCAGGCCGCTGCATCGCAATGGCACACTCCTCTCGACAACCGCAACCACTGCCGCCGCCGACCGAGCCTCCTCGCACCGCGGCCAACCCCGTCACCGCTGTTCGTGCCTCGCTGGCTTACACAGCCACCAGCCGTGCCGCGCCTCCGTGCCTCTCCGTGCCGCGGGCACCTCACCGGCCGGTCGCCGCCTGCCGGCCACGCCTCCAGCCGCTGCTGCCGCTGCCGGCCACCCGTTGTCGGCGCCCCGCGGTGACAAATTAAACGTAACCTTGGCCTATATTTGATATTTCTCTCCGGCGATATTCTCGTGGCACCATTGGGCACGGCACGATCTCGTGCAAGTTTCTCCCACAACATCACAGATTGTGCTGCATCTGCATGTGTGTCACACACCGGAGATCCAGCTGGGTGCGCCCGGCCGCCCGTGCGCGTGTGCGTGCGCATGTGTTCCTAAAGCCGTTTAATTTGAAGATTTGGGAGAGCAGAGAGCAGGAGGGTTCGCCCGTTCGTTTGGTAGCTAATAGGCGCGCTTTGCGTTGAATGCGCCCGCTTGCTGCCATTTTGCTTGTGGACTACCCTTTCTTCTTCTGTTATTACCAGGTTTCACTGCCGCAAGTCATCACACCGTCTACTCTGTATTATGACTCTCTCTCTCTCTCTCAAATCTACATCTATGATCTGTCACTGCTTCTCTCTCTCTCCAACACAGCACCTAGTACCGCATGATCACCTATATATACACCCGAGCATCCTCTCCTCTCAGCTGCAACCTATAGCTAGAGAGCTACTGCGGCACTAGTCACTCTCTCTCTCTCTCTCTATAGCTTTGCTTGATCATATCAATACCACCGCCCTACAAATCTCTCTCTCTCTCTCTCTCAAGAGGAATTGAACTGAAGTTCTTGCAGCACGGTCGAGAAGTAAGGGAGTTGAGAGTTGAGAGAGTAGAGAAGAGGGAGATGGGGAGGGAGAGCTTGCCGACGCTGGCCATGGTGATGGTGCAGCTGGGCTTCGCCGGCATGAATGTGGTGTCCAAGCTGGCGCTGGACACCGGCATGAGCCCCTACGTCCTCATCGCCTACCGCAACATCATCGCCGCCGTCTTCCTCGCCCCCTTCGCCTACTACTTCGAGAGGTACACGTACGTACGTATGTCTATATCGTTACGCATCGTGCTGCGCTCTAGCTAGCTACTTCCTTTCGTTCCCTCGACGATCGATTCCTTCCTTGTGTTTCTTGTTCTGATTAGTGAATATTATATTCATTCTTTCATGGTCTTTTTCTTTTCCCTTTGAATTCATTCATTCCTGCATGTGTGGGGAGTAGATTCAAAGAAATGTTTGTTTTTTTTTCAGATGGCAAAATAAATGATTCTTTTAGTGTCACTGGCATGTTTTGACTCTTGATTTGTTATACCTTCATCAGAAGAAAGAAAGGAACGGACTTTAATTCAGTACATCTCTGAGATGTCTTTTTCTCCTTATATCAGAAACAGGGCATGCACTCCTACTGTATTTAATGAAAATGACATAGTCTCATGCTGATTTCCCTTCAAAAAAAAAACAGGGGCAAAAATTAATCAATACAGGGTGTTCTCAATATTCATGTAACAATGCTACCAGTAGTTTCCTCTTGTAGAGGATGCTCTTCCTGACTTCTTGTCCTGTCGAGTTTGTTTTGCTCTGCGTGATTACGAAAGCAAGTCAAATTTTTGTTTTTTTGCGGCTAACCATTCAATTGGCATACTTATGGCTTCGCTGTAATTTCTAAATATATATTCTCCATGTGAATGTACTACACCTGGTGCCAACTGGGATTACAACCCCCAAGGAGAGCTTCATTAACTGGACTTACTAACCTCATTGAATGTCTTAAATGTTCATGCACTAAGCAACATATGAGGCTGATCTCACATAACCAGCTGTATCTAGCTCTTGCGTGGAATCAATCAATCAATTTAATAACCAAGATTTTGTTTGTTGGAAATGAATTAACCGTTTTGAATCAAGTTTGATATTAGTGGTTTTAATCAGTACTCAACCTACATGGATGCATGCAGGAAGAGTGGCATGGTGATCACCAAGAAAGTACTTGTCCAGATATTCTTCTCCTCCATTTTTGGGTAAGTACTCTCTCCATTAACCAGTTAAACATGTCACTGAATTAATCGAACTTGCAGCAATGATCTCCTGAATTAAAGGAAAAAAAGAAGAAAAATGAATCGCTAGCTAGGCTTGCCCATCAAAGGAGCCGATTTCTTGCAAAACTGTCTCTTTTCCCCTGAAGTTGAGATGGCCATGTTTGTGCACTCCACATGTGTTCCTTATTCTTCCAGGGATAGGGAACATGCTTATTCTGTGTCATGCCGTTGCCTCTCTAAAAAGAACGCTACCAATGGCGAACTGACAAACTGAATAAACTGTACTCTAGTTGATCACCACAACCCAACCAGGCCACTTAAAAGGTTGCAGCCAATGCAAAACTGATTAATTAATTAGCAGTTTAACTAATTGCTTTTTGGATGAAACCTTCATTTGTCCCGGAATTTTATTTCAATCCAACAAGTTATAATCTGAATTTGCAGTTTGGAAAGTGAATACAACTTACAGTAGCAGGGGTGTGACCCTGTTCTGTTCTGCCTCACCTGTTCTGACACTTTGCCGCGTTCAATCTTAGATCGACTAGCAAATTCAACTATATGTTGTGATCATGTTACTAGATTTTACCCATTTTTTACTATCCAGTCAAATAACGGCCAAACATATGTTGACAAGATCAAAACTTAGCACCAACGCGCACACATTTCGAAATGTTTATTTAGAAACTAATGTGATTTAAATAACCGCAACAGTTAATAATTTGGCATGTACGTGTGCAGCGCGACGCTGAACCAGGTGCTCTACTTCGTGGGGCTCAAGTCCACGACGCCGACGGTGGCGTGCGCGCTCAGCAACACGCTCCCGGCGCTGACGTTCGCCATGGCGGCGGCGTTCCGGATGGAGTCGGTGCGGCTGAGCGCGGCCGCCGGGCAGGCCAAGGTGTTCGGCACGGTGGTCTGCGTCGGCGGCTCCATGATCATGCCGTTCTACAAGGGCCCGCTCCTCAGGCTCTGGGCGTCGCCCATCCACTGGCGGTTCGCGGAGAGCGCCGCGTCGGGCGCGGCGGCGCCAGCCGCGGGCGGCGCCGCCGTCCTCGGCGACGTCCTCATCATCCTCAGCTGCGCCGCGTGGGCCGTGTGGTTCATCATACAGACCAAGATGTCGGAGCGGTTCTCGGCGCCGTACACGAGCACGACCATCATGTGCTTGATGGCCGGTGTGCAGTGCGCCGGCGTCAGCGCCGCCATGGACAGGAGCGTCGCCGTGTGGAAGCTCGGCTTCGACATCCGCCTCTACTCCGTGCTCTACATCGTAAGTTGCGCCGACACGAAACCGATCGATCGAACCGATTTTCGTTTTTCTTTTCTGACGCGAGAGCTGTTGATGATGATGATGGTTTCAGGGCGTGGTCGGGTCGGGGATCGCGTTCGCGCTCATGTCGTGGTGCATCCAGGTGCGCGGCCCGCTGTTCGTGTCCATGTTCAGCCCGCTGATGCTGGTGGTCGTGGCCATTGTCGGCTGGGCGATCCTCGACGAGAAGATACACGTCGGCAGCGCGATCGGGTCCGTGCTGATCGTCGCCGGGCTGTACATGGTGCTGTGGGGGAAGGCGAGGGAGATGGGCTCGCCATCGGACCTCGACGGCGGCGGCGGCGGCGGCGGCGTGGTGGAGCTGAACGGCAAGGGCGCCGACGCCGCGACGACCTTGCCGGTGTTCTGCACCACCACCAACAAGCACGAGACGACCCGGAACGGCTGCAGCAACTGAAGCTGATGGCGCACCGGGGCATATGGATGGCGGATCACCTGATTATATATGCGCTAGCTGCACATTTCACAGGCTGTTGCATGTGTGACAACTACATCTTGCTGGGGATATCAATTGGTGCGGTAGTATATAGATGTGGGAGTTTGCTAGTAGTAGCTAGGTAAAAGTTGGGGGAGGTGTGTGAGACTGTACCTGTGCCTTGGTTCTTGACATTAAAAATGGATTGTGCACTTGTGCAGCTGCTCTGTTCATCGGAGGAAGACTTTGTTAATTTGTCCCATTGTATTGGTACATGTTGTTGGCAAACTATTGTGGTCCCTCGAGCAGTGGCGGAGCCAGAAATCGCATAAGAGTAGGCCTAAGGTAGGGCTCAACTAATGGGGTATTCATTTTTTACAAAATTTACATGGTGAATTAAAGAAAATTAACTAAGTTCTTGGAGGTAGGCCTAGGGCTCAAGCCCTAGCTGCTCTAGGCCTGTCTCCGCCCACGCCCTCAAGGGATATCCTCTTGTTATTTGCATGTCACTTAAATGGTTATAAAAAAAATTAAGAAAATGTATTACTATGTGATATATCACATAGTTAAAATTCATATTCTACATCTCGCAACGAAAAAAACAAATTTGGCTGTGAATATACATTAACTAGCTGTAATTTAATTTGTTTTTTTCGTCGAACTAGCTGTAATTTAATTTGTTTTTTTCGTCGACAAAAAAACAAATTAAATTACAGCTAGTTAATGTATATTCACAGCCAAATTTGTTTTTTTCGTTGCGAGGTGTAGAATATGAATTTTAACTTGCATATTTGTGAAGTGATATAGTATTATTCCCCATGTTTCGCGATCTTCTCGACTGCGCCACAACCGAATCCTCACCGAAAGCGGAGAGAGGCTGTCGGACTGCGGATCTGCGGTGTGGACTTGGCACATATGATAGTAGGAGTTAAGTACAAAATCCTTTTCTTGATACTGTTGTAAGACTTGTTTAAGTTTTCGAGATAATGATCAAAAGTCTTTTCTTAGACGGAGAAGTTATATGTCATATTCTGATAAAATCATCCCAAGTTAAAAAATCACCTTTATAAGGAATAATAGAAATTACTTTTCTATTATTAATAAAAAACAACACTAAAATAATACTAGAAATTATTAAAAGCTTAAAAGAAATCTCAAATACTGAAATACATACAAGAAAATTTTTTGAAAGTGCCTTGGACTATTTTTATTAAATTCTCCATGCTCTAAATTGTCCCTCAATTTTTACTAGAATTTTTAGAGTAATGTAAATAATTTTAATTAAAATTTTAGAGTTAATTAAAATAAATAACCTAAAAATAATTCTCTCCCTCTCTTTGGCCCGAATACGGCCCAAAGTCCTCTTGTCCTCCTTTCTCTCTCTCCCTCTTGGGCCATCACCAACCACCGGCCCATCTCCCTCTCCCACCTTAGGGAAAGAGAGCAGCAGTTACAAGAACAATAAATATTTTAAAAAACTATGTGATACCCCACATCTTGCTACGAGACTTTTAGCAAGAACCACTTAGGGCAGTCTCAACCCATAACACTAGACATGGTTTCCATAAACTCCACATCATCAAGAAACTAGTACTAGACACTACTCTTCCAATACAAACATCACTATTCCATACTTCAATTTAATGCTACTTATCTCACATGATGCCTTGGATGTTGTGTAGAAACCATGTCTCATGCAAGACATGGTTTCCTTCTCTTTCCTTATTTATTCACTTGCCACATCATTTTTTGTCCTAGGTGGCAACTTATTTAATGCTATGGACACCATCCTAGTCATTGGGTTGGTAATGCCCTTATATGAATGTTGCTCGGAAAGAGTTGGACAAATGGAGATGTGCAAAAAGTGACAGAAGGAGTTAATTTCAGAGATTGATTGTACTCACATAAAACTGCTATGAGTAAGTTGTTTCTATCTACAAAGAGTTTGTTATTAGTACTTGATAGAACTACCTAGTTTTTAGTTCAGCCACTTTTCTAATTTCCTAGTGACAATCTCATATACTTTCTGCCTGCGCATGTAAATCTTAATTGAGACATATATGCATATAGTCAACATTAATATTCCAAGTCATATGATAAACAAAGGAATCAGAAAATGATGTCTGACTGTAATATCTTGTCTCCTAATTTCATAAGTTTAAATGAAGCAAGACAACGTACATAGCCTGCAAAAGGAGTTAAAAAATGAATATAGGTTGAAGTATGTGCATTGTTATCATGAAGAAACCACGGGAAAATAGTTCACCTATTGCGTTATCCTGGATGATCAAGCAAAGGACAAATCCTAGTAATTGTAGAAAGACTACATTTGAAGCTAATAATTTCACTATAAATAGAAGGTTTGTGAACATTCCTTGAGGAACGAATCAGAGTAATTAACCCATTACCAAAAGAGAAAATACATCAAATAAATAAATTGCAGAATCTGCTAATATCCTCATACCAATTAAAATCTCAAACTGAAGCCCCACAAAATTGTGGAAGCCTGCGAACATAGAAAGAGCTATAGCAAAACATTAATAGCGATAATATAACTAAAAGTATTCCCTGAAATAAGTTCAGAGCTTTTACTTTTTCCTTTCTGAATCAGATTGGATACAAAAGCGTATGATCATCTTCTTTACCACGTTATTCGTATGGTTATTTAAAAATGAGAAAACCTCAAATCAACGTGAGAGTTGAAGATACCTTGAAAAATCTCCTGTCAGGGACTGGTACTGGACTACTGGAATTGGAATGCCATGAAGCCACTGCTGCCTGTAGTCTTCAGCTTCTCGGTTTGTCATCTCCTTCTGGGAATGGAGTGTAGGATGGCTAGTGGGTGAAGGCAAAGATCTGGCAGTACATGCGGGCAGACAACCACCGTAGTAAAAATAAATATATCTATTATATACTAAAAGTCCATTAAATTTTCTAAAAACATTCTTAAGCTGCCACGTGTCACTTATACAAACGCTCATAGACCGCCACGTGGCAATGTCTAATCTCACCGTAGATTTTCACTTAAATCGGTGGACCCGATAATTTAGACCATTAGTTTAGTTTACATGTATTTTATTTAAAAGGAAACTAATACATTACTCTTCACCGGAAAAAGAAAAACAAAAACGCATAAGTACTCCATAGGTACGTACGTACGTGAGACTAAAAAACAATGAATCTTATTACCGTTTATCTTACTGTTCACCAGAAAAAGAAAAAAAAACACAAGTACTCCATAGTTAGGTTCATACTACGTTGGACTAAAAAACAATAAATCTTGCCTACCGTTTATCGAAAGAAAAAAAACTACGCACAGACTTATTATAAAAAAACAATAAAGCGAACATAACATATGTAGGACCATTGAAAAATCGATTATCTTTAAAATAGAGATTTCTACTATTTAAAAATAAAATCTATTGCTCTATAAATTTAAGCAAATATCACCGTCGATTTTTACTTAAATCGGTGAACCTAATATTTTAAACCATTAGATTAGATGTATTTTATTTTAAAAACTAATACCTTATTACTCTGTGTATGTATACGCTGTTAGGCTAAAAAACATAAGTAGTCCGTGCGTACATATGACTTGGAAAAAAAATAAAGCTTACGTACTGTCCATTGGAATAAAGAAAAATCTATGCACGATGGTTTTTTAAATAGTATTTTCAAAATCCCTTACTATAAAAACAATAAAAAAATGTATAGTTCGGAAAAGATAGATGGTCTTATAAAATAGTATTATCTACTTTTTAAAAATAAATATATTACTCTAGAAATGTACATAAATATACGTAGTTAAACTAAATTTATATTATAAATATGAAATATCCCATCAATGATATTTATTCGTGGTATCTTAACATACGAGGCTGATATATATAATTTTTAATGCTATGATAATTTTTTATTTCACATCATATAAGGTGTCTTGACGAATACGCAACACTAATTTAAATCTACATTTGTAAAAATGAAAACAACATAATTTAGTTGTTTCATTTTACACCATTAGGTTAGATTTATTATTTAAAAAATACATTTCTCCTATATACAAATACATGAGAAATATGTAACTGTTGACCGGAAAAAGTACTCCGTATGTACATATGATTGAAAAAAACAATATTGCTTACAAAGAATGGAAAACGAAAACATACTTATGATAAAGCCAAAAAAATCGGTAGTCCTTAAAAATGAATTTTCTATAATGTAAGGATAAAATATAATAATCTTCAAATTTACACAAATGTAAATATAAAATACTCAATCAATGCTTTTAAGCATTTTATCTTTTAAATTATTTTAAAATTATATATCCAATTTGTGATCCGGTTATATTCCTTTAAATAAATAAACTATTAAATATCTATAGCCCTAAATACATCACAAATATACAGCCGACATGTAATAATTAATGTTATGATAATAATTACACATCATATTTTAGGTGTAAAAAAACACTTGACGAATACACAACGCTGATTTAAATGTACATATGTATTCTTCAAATTACCGATGGCGTCTCATATGACTAGAAACAATAGGTGTTGAAAACAAACTGAACACTGAACTAACATGCACTACACTATAGATATATATATTATAGATATTTGTCAAAATATGATAGGTACTTTGGAGATTAACGTGGTAGTATTAAAAAAAATCACTTTTGTCCCAGTTACATATAAATTCTTCTATTGTTTTGGGATAAAATTCAACTCCTTCGATTTATGTGACAAAGGGAATATAAATAATTTAAGTCTATCTTCGATTAGATGAAGTAGTATCATTAGCTATATTTTTAATAGAAAATATCTTTCATTAATATATAATAAATTTAAAATGTTACTTAAAGTCATCCATGGCATACAAAATAAAAAATGTTACATAAAGTTTGGAAACTCCAATTTTTTTTTAAAAAAAAAGAATCATACATAATACAAATAGATATGAACTAACTTCATTATTGTGAAACATTATTTTCTAATAAATTTTAAGATATACAATTTCAAGTAATATGTCTAAACCAGTTATTAACGAACATACGTTTAAAATATATTCAAAAAATATTTTAAAAATATCATCCACACATAAACATTTGTTATAAAAGTTCAAACAAGATTAAATAATATGTCCGCGCATGCGGGCTACCTTCCTAGTTAATAGTAATGTATATTCATTATTAATTAGAATGTGAAGTGTCAAAGCCAACTTACCACATTCTTCTACTCTTTTTTACTGAATTCTCCCATC